TATATATATATATATATATATTTCTATTAATCATTTTCGGCCTTTCGGCATTCGGTTTTCGGCCAACTGTTTCCTATTTTCGGTATCGGTTTCGGCCAAGAATTTCCCATTCGGTGCACCCCTACACGAGAGATGCATGATTAGTTGACCGTTTTAACCAGCCGCTAAACCCCTGAGGACTAGCAGTCGTCACTTTAACTTTTTTTCTGCTGAACTTTGGCACACTGATACGTTATTTGATCTGCTGTTGAATTCCAGCCGGCACACTGAAGAACACCGTGCATTGACACTCTGCGCCATATTGAACCACTCTGATTTCCAACAGATACCAACAGGAGTAAACTGTTTGCTCTGTTGGCTAATGATCCACTTGTTTCTTCTTCTCTGCGCAGGATACCCAAGGCACTTGCGGAAAAAGCATTCGCAGACATCAAAGAAAAACAAGCTGCAGCACAGATTCAAGGTATTCTATCCACATGTATGACTTTGTATGGTGCTGATGTCGTGCTTTTTATCAGAAGTATGACATTTGTTGTTCGGGTCCAAAGGAACATTCATGTGAACAAAATAGAAAATATAGAAGCCATACAAATTGGGCTGGTCAGGCTGACATTAGGCACTTTTACACCGGAGTACTTTTCCCGTTTAGTTCCGATAGTTCCTGGGATTTTGCGTTCACACCAAAAAGAGAACTTAGTTCATGAGAACTTCCCCCCCCTTTTCAGTCCCTGCTAGAGAGCTGGTACTTTCCTGGGGAGAAAAAAGTTCCAATTTCTGATTGGCTGGGCGGATTGCAATCCACGCCCCGTAAAACTCTGAAAAGGTTTGTGAAGCCGCCATTGTATTTGCTGGCATTAGCATTAGCCCTGCGCACCAGCGGAGAGAGAATAACTTATGGCAACACAAATAAAAACATGGTAGCGGTGGAGTGATGAGGAGGTGTCGGCGTTCTGGCGATTTACTCGGAAGGCTTCAGTAGAAGCTGCTGGGAGTCCCAGCAGCTTCTACTGAAGCCAGTCCCCAACTCCGGGGACTTCCGGCCGGGGACTTCGGGTGGCAGTATACGCCGTGAAGTTGTTTGCGGCCTGCCAGTAAACCCAAAGCAGAAGAAGAAGAAGTGACGTCAGCGGGTTCATTCGCGTAATCTTCCCTCAGGGACTTATTCCGGTGTGAACGTGATCTGCTCTTTAGTTCCATGGGGGAACTAAGTGCTGGGAACTAAGTACGGCAAAGTACTTGGTGTGAAAGCGGACATTGTGATCCATCCAGGCACTCAACTGACTTGTCAATGTTTGTTTGAATTCAGCTGTAATCCAGAGAAGCAAGAAGAGGAGATCTGAGGAGGAAGAGAGGTCTAACCAAGTCCAAAAACTGACGTCTAAACAGGTATGCAGTGTTTTTTCTCTCTGACGTCAAACAGATCTTTCTGGGTCGACGCGGTAGGTGAAGGATTTATCTTACTGATGAGACAGGACTGGAGTTGAAAAGCTCATTTTTTTTCTTTATCTTTATCCCTTTCTACAGAGAAGAGCGATTGACCGTGCTCAGAAGGGGAAGAAAATTGGCGTGCGCTATTACGAAACAGCCAATGTGAAAAACAAGAACAAGGACAGAAAGGCCCCAGCGTCTGCCACAGAAGGCCAGAGGTCCAAAAGAAGAAAGCACTAGACTGGCGTCGTGAAACACATTTGTAATAAATCTTTATTTAAACTTGCCAAAAGCCAAGTTTTTTTTTGAAAGTGTGGAGTTAACAGAAGGTGGAATGCTAACTTAGCATTAAAAAGGTCTGTATCAAGTGGTCACTTGCGGCCTTGCCTTTTGAAACTCCTTCTCCCCTTCAGACCAGAACTGTTTTTGAATGACATTTCATTCATCATTTACAGGACAGGTGTAATGCTCTCTTGATGTTAAAGAAAACTGTACGTGTCATGTCATGCTGTAATAAAAAACGTGCTAATGACACTCACTTCTGTTTACTTCAATTGATCATGTAGAAAGAAGACGAGACACATTTACTAACATTGTGTACTGGGAAATGGTAACGCATCTTGTTTGGCGGAGTTACTTCTTTGGCGTAATGATCCCTTCCAGTTGGTTCTAAATAGAAAGAAAAATGTCAATTCTGAAAACAGGCAACACGGCTACTATCCGGGTTAAATCTAAAGAAGGTGCTTTTCTTGTTGTATTAATAAACCATACCTTGAGCTGCTGGTTGGTTCTCTTCAGGAACTGAATCTCTTCACTGTGTTTCTTTTCCTCCACCTGTCGCTTCTCGTTTTCTCTCTTTTCAATGGAATCGCTTTTAGCTTTCTCCTCATTCAGTTGCTTCTTTAACTCTTGTTTCTCATCTCCCAGTTCAGAGATCTAGGGTATGTGAAAAGAAACAATTGTAATTTAGTTCCAGAATAAAATATTTCGAGAGCTCTACTGCCGTCCTTATTTCACAATAACTCTTAAAGGGAAATGGCGCCCTCTGCTGGATACTTTACTGAGCTGTTCCTGTGGCTTGAGATCAGTGGAAAACTACTAAATCTCTTATTGCATGTAGCAAAACTCTCAGATTTGGGGGTCTTCATGCCCCTTATTGTCTTGGCAGTTGTAAGTCATAACAAATAATGAAATGTCCTTACTCTTCTCTCCATGTCGTCCTTGCCCTGCTCAGCCTGCAGTGCTTTCCTCATTCCAAAAGCCACGCTGCTCTCATACAGTGTCTGGTAGGCGGCCATAGTCATTTGAATCTCATCTCTGACCCTCAACAGAAGCAGACCCCTCTCGGCACAATTGATGGTCACCTGTCTGATTAGCTCATCTTAAAAGAAAGTTGGAAGATCAGACAGTTGAGTTAATGTTGTGAGTGAAAACTGCCTTCATTTGATAATAGGAACGTTGTTCCATCAGAAGAAAGACTACAAAGGATATAAATCCAGCGTTGTATGAAAACCTAGATAAAATCCTTGGCCTTACTCTCTGTGTGTAAGGCATTGTATACATCTATTATTGTAACCTCAGTAGTCACCAGCATCTCAGATTCTTTCTTACCAAAGCACTGGGAGAAGAGCTCCCTGCGGACGGGGCAGATTCCTGTCTGTCTGGCCTGCCTCTGCTGCATCTTGATGTCCAGCAGTTCCTCTAGGCGAATAACATCTGCTCGTGTACAAGGTGCACTGGATACTTGTTGAACCCACAATTGGTTTCCCTCCATCCATTCCCTGTAATGGTAGAAGTTTGGATTAATGAAAGCATGGTTTGAGTTTGTTAAGCATAACATGCTGAGAGGGAAAGCAATACCTGGGTGGAAGGATGGCATTGAGGATCTCATCATTTTCCTGCTTGGTGGCATCAGCAGAGGCTGATTTTGGTTTTGGGGGTTGGGGAACAGGGCTAGAGTCAGCAGGCTGCTGAGGGCTTACTCTCAAAGGCCGTCCCTGTGGTGAACAAAATGTAAGTTGCATTAAACATTACATTTCTCAATTAAATCATATTTTGAAAATAATCAATACATTTTCTTGGTTGTGCATTAAAAGCAAAGTGATAACAGTAGTATTCTTGCAGATGTTATGCTGATGTTGCCACACATACAAAATAATAGCTGGTGTAATGTGAATGAGTGATTAATATAATATTTTTCCTGTTTCAGATTTAAATCCACTTTTAAATAAACAAAACAATAGTAAATTATGAATAGCCTACAATACACGATTGATCTTATTTCCTATTTATTTTTAAGCCAAGTTCAGACTACAACAAACATCTAAAAACAATATACAATGTGTAACACAATCATACTTTTCATCACTTTCTGACTGAGTATTTCCCCTCTATACCTGCACCACTTCAATCCTCAATCCAAAATTATTTTAGCCAGGTAAGGTCTAAACCTGGTCTAAACTCGGATTTCTGGTTAAACTTACCTTTGGTGATTTTCTGTCTGTGCTTTTGCTGACCAAAACAGCATTCTCGTATTTCAGGAGAGACTCGGAAGGTGGAATCATTCTGTCGACTATAAAAAATAATAAAGTTATTCACTAAATCATAAATGTCTTGCTGTGAGCTTCACTTACAGAAATAGCGTTGTGTGGTTGCTAATAAAATGCTCATTGTTTGCGTTGTTATGACAACAGCGTATCGGTGTTACATTTTGATTTGTCCGGTTGGGATCAGCGGTTTGGTTCATCAACACAATCTTCGTTTATAATATTTAGGACAAAACATTAATTAGAAGAAAGAAGAAAGGCTGTACTTGCTGTGGTATAAATTATACGCCCGTTTTACGACTTGTTTATGTTTTTAAGGGAGATCGCTGTTTTAATTGAAACACTCGTTGTAAAAAATGTTAATATTTCGTCCTGTCATTTTACACAACACCAGCTTTATTTAATATGTTACCGTAACCGTAACGTAAATGATAGACTGAGTCATAAGGAACCAAAATCGAGCCCTGTAAGTCATCACGTCGACGTCATTTCTCGGTACACCACAGGAAACGGAAGTTTCCAAATTGAGCATAATAGTCGAAGTTTTGTAATCGCTACGTTTTTGAGTTTGCTTTTGTTTGTTTTTTTACATGCTGTTGGGCGAACGGTGATGTTTGATTAGTTACACAACGGTTGGATTAGTCTACATACATTAGAATGACCAAAGAAAAGCGACACAGGAGACGGGAATCCCCGGAGCGGGAGCCCAAAGTTAAGATAAAGCAGGAGCAGGTGAGCCCTGTTAGGCCACAGAAAACACGCCGCTCTCGGTCCAGATCCAGCGGCCACTCCAGTCCACAGAGGAGAAGAACCAGCAGGTATTTTCGATTTAAAGTCATTTTATTACCTTGACAGACACAACATACGCGTTCGCCAGTGAGTTTAAAGATGTTTTGCCTTCCGAACAAACGCAGCTAACGCGTTAGCACATTTTAGCTGCATCTGAACGGCAATCATTTGTTAGTTTGCTATGTAAACGTCTTTACAAAGTTAATTTAGGGCCTTTTTTTGTGTTCTTCGTGTAGGTCTCCCGCCAGGACAAGAGACCGTTCACCAGTTAGAAGAGAGACTTCTCCCGTCAAACGAGGAAGCAGATCCACCAGAAACAGAAGAAGTCGCACTCCTCCACAACGTGGTGCTGATGTCAAAATAAAGCGGGTGATTAGGTCCTACATTATTAGAAACATGCCATATAGCTTTTATCATTGGATTTTTCTTAATTCAGAGGTTTAAGTTACTCCACTTTTTCTTTCCATGTGGCACATACAAGTGGAGGCTACCAGTGTTTATCTTATAATTTTGCACCTTAAACAGCTGCTTCTGTATTGGCATAGTACCTAAGAGTATGTCAACTATTTTCCTACGACAGATACCACTTCTCACTGGCTCGCTCATTTAAATTACTATTTCAATGGCTATTTCTACTTGATAAAAATAAACAAATACACTTTTTTTTTTTTTTAAACGTAGCAATTGAATGTTTTTGTAGTTCAAACTTGGCTCTGCTCGCTACATTGAGAGCCAGAATTTTTTGTTTTATTGGGCCCGATAGCATAGCTACCACATGTGAATTCGCAAATGAAGAATGACTACACGTGGTTATTGAAGGCAAGTCAACTCAACTCTCTAACTGTCGATTTTACAAATAATCTCACAGGAGCAGGATGAGCCACGGACCAGTGGGGAGGATAGGAGGAGAAGAAATGAGCAGCCAGAAGAAAGGCGGAGCAGGTGGGAAACAGACAGACCGCGGGAAACGGACAGACCGCGGGAAATGGACAGACCGCGGGAAATGGACAGACCGCGGGAAATAGACAGACCGCGGGAAATAGACATACCGCGAGAGAGAGACCGTGGCAGAGACAGACAGCAAGAGCAAGAAGCACTTGGCTCTCAACAAGATGAAAGACGGCAACACGATGAGCGGCGCAGAGAAAACCGCCAGCGGCGTGAAGAAAACCAAGAACAGGATTTTGGACAGTCTGAAGGAGGGGTTGAAGACCCAGATGACCCGCCTCCTGACAAAGAGAAGCCCAACTTTGGACTGTCCGGGGCTCTAACGGAAGATACCAACACATTCCGGGGGGAGGTGATCAAGTACAATGAGCCACCTGAGGCTCGCATTCCCAAGCGCAGATGGCGACTGTACCCTTTCAAGAATGATGAACCCCTTCCAGTCATGTACATTCACAGACAGAGTGCCTATTTGTTGGGGCGGCAGAGAAAAATTGCTGATATCGCCATTGACCACCCTTCCTGTTCCAAGCAGCATGCAGTCTTCCAGTATAGGTAAGAGTAACAATGATCAGCTATGTGTTTTTTACTTTGCTGTGCTATAAATCTCCTATTTCAATCTGTATCATTTAAATAGAACTCCTCTGCATGCTGCATAACACTGATTTAAACTGCTCTTCCTTCCTTCCTGTCTGTTTCTCTGCAGGCTGATGCCGTTTACTCGTGCAGACGGCACCAGTGGCCGCAGGGTGAGGCCTTACATCATTGACTTGGGTTCCGGCAACGGCACCTACCTGAACAACCAGCGCATCGAAGGTCAACGCTATTACGAGCTCAAAGAAAAAGACGTTATCAAGTTTGGCTTCAGCAGCCGCGAGTACGTCCTCCTGCACGAGTTCTCAGACACAACCGAGGTGGACACCAAGGAGGAAGAGGAAGAGGATGATGAGGGCCTTGATGAGTAAATTGTTCTCAAAAACCCATTTGTCCAGTTCATTAAGGGTAGATAACTTCTCCATTAGTGTTCAGCAAATGGCTGTTTTTGCAGGGAATGGAACAATTAATGGAACTGGTAAATGTTGGACTTTATTTCAATAATGGAACAAGGCTGGTTTGTATATTCTGTAATTACCGAACTGTTGCTTAAACCTGCCACAACTGTCTCAGAGAAGACTTCCTATTCTCAGGTTGTTTGTGTAATATCTGTGTAAGCGTTACTGATCTCACATCTGACAGCGCTCACTATACAAAGTGCTCAGTGCCAGATAAAGATTCTTGCTAAATAAAAAAAGTTAATTTTATATTTTTGGATCACAGCACTCGTACAAAGTTTAGCAGAAGACTGATCTCTTGTCTTTGTCCAGGCTGTATATATCAATGTATGATACGTGGAATGTGTACTCTAGATTCATGTCAAATAAGCATTGCTTATTGTCAGAGTAAAAACATTACAGACATTCTTGTAATGATGTTGCCTTTTTTTTTGCTTTGTAGAGCAGGGGGAAACTAGTTGATTCAGTTGTGTTTCCTTTCACCAATACTGTGTGGATTTACAGACTCCCTGTTTTAATTTTTTTTTAATTTTTGAAGCCGACAGCATTCATAGTAAATTTCCATCTATGTACTTTGAATAAAGATCGTGAACATTTGGATTGTCTGGAGAGTTTTAATGTAGACACCTCATCAGATACATTTCCATTTTATATGTCAATAATTGTAATGTAAGATTACCAAACATTAAGACTAAGCACTTGTAAATTGTGATTCAACATTTACTGGGAACATTTCATGGAAAACTTTCTTTCAGCATATCTACTTTTTGTTTAGCGCAGCTGGGTCGGGGGCTTGGAACTGAACTCCAAGCTCTCAGATTAAAGTAAATATTTAAGAATCAGTCCTTAAATGTCCCCATGTTCAAACCTTGTTCAGCTATAATATTAAATTCTCCCTGACCCCTGAATGCTCTCTCTTTTAGTTTGTTTTGTTTGAAGGGAATTACATGAATAAAAATCAGACAGGTCAACAGAAGAAGAAGCCAGAGAAATGACAAAATAACATGTTTTTTTTTAATATATTTTTTCTAACGGATCAAAGACAGGTTTTTTCATTATTCATATGCAAGAAGACATTATTTGAACAAAATAAATAATTATCTTTAACATGTTGCATTATTGTTGGGACACAGCAATCATCCCATCAGTGTTCACCTGTAACCATCGGAATTGAATAACAGCTTTTCACAGCAGAGGTCATGCGAGAGTCGAGGCTTGTGTGGCGTTCAGTGTCAGTCTGAAAATGTCAGCGGGCGGAGCAGGGGAGGAGAGGAGGGAGGGAGAGAGGGCGGGTCGAGTGGAGAAGAGTACGGGAATGGTAGTGGATATGTGCTGTGAGCGGGGGCGTTGACACACCTGGGGAATTACAAGAACAAGCAACCGTGTTGTCAGATTTCTAATGGAAGTTGTCACTACAAAGTTCATGCATTGAGTTCCAGCTGCGGAATAAGTGACAACATGTACACAACGGAGCGCAGGAGAATGAGCCTGCGCGAGCTGAAGAGGAAAGATCCAGTGTGGGTGTCTGCTGGAAGTTTGTGGCAGGACTCTCTGGCTATAGAGCTGACTGCCAGCGGCTCGGTTAGACCGATCGTTTCCCCACGCAGTCGGACCAGGGCTGTCTCCGTGGCATACATCTTGAACGAGGACGCGTCCGTGCCGCAAACTGAGGAGAACTTATCCCTGAAATGTCTGAAGGAAGCTTGCGCGGACGCACAGGCAGTTTTCAAAACAATCCCATTTGAGAGAATATCCCTTGGCACCACGGACATCCTGGATAGTTTCTACAACGCAGGCAAGTGCAGGCATGCTGACTGCGGGGTAATTTAAGCACTAGGCCGACCCCGCTGACTAACCNATTAGTTGACCGTTTTAACTAGGGATGCACCGAATATTCGGCCGCCGAAAATTATCGGCCGAAAATGGTTAAAAAGGCTCTTTCGGCTTTCGCTTTCGGCCGAAAGCCGAAAGAGCCTTTTTAACCATTTTCGGCCGATAATTTTCGGCGGCCGAATATTCGGTGCATCCCTAGTTAAAACGGTCAACTAATCATGCATCTCTCGGTCTGGCAACTTCATGTTTAAAATTAGGGCAATACAGAAAATGAATAAATAATGCAAGTGAGTGTGGTCTTACCGGATTGATGAGAAGCACTTGTTTTGGGCCCGGTCCAGGAAATGCTTGTACTTGTTGATCTTTTCATCCAGCTGACGGATCGTCGCGCGTGGCTTCTTCTTGTCGGTCGGAGCGGTCGTGGGCTCTGGGGCCTCAGTCTCTCCATCGGCTGGTTCCACACTGGTTCCGTCTTTCCCTTCTTCTTTCTCTTTTTCTTTTTCTTCTTCTTCTTCTTCCTCCTCCTCCTCCTCTTCACTGTCTCCCTCTCCTTCCCCGTCAGAGCCTGAGAGGTCAGACAGTCCCAGGTCAGGCATCTCCACAGGAACCAAGTCTTCTTCATTGAACTCTGGGGCCACGTTGATCTTCCCGAAGTTCTGTTTCACACTAGAGATAATCTTCTGGACCCGCTCCTTCTGTCTCTGCTTCTTTTCGTCCTGTTCCTCCGGGACGGCTTCAGGATTGTCTGTCTGTTCCTCCATCACCACCTCTACTGCCTCTGAGGGGCCTTCAACTGGCACTGGCGCCTTGCCCTAGAGAAATACAGAAACACAACACAGGTCAACAACATAAGGCACAGTTGAAATGTCGTTCACTGATAAACCACAGGTGGAGAATTCAGTAAAGTCTCACCTCGTGTTCCCCATCAACACCGGGGGGTTTTACAAAGAAGGGGATACGTCCTCTCTGCCAATCGTTCAACACCATTTTGGCAACTGTGGAGATGTCCGGCTCGCCGCCCTGTAGAATAACGGGAATACCTTGATTTAGTTTAGGAACTAAAAACAGACTTTTACATTTGCTATTCAGCTTAAAATAAACCATTTGTATTAAATAAGGATTCACTGATGGACACTTTTTAATATATCATAGGAAACATTTGTTGAATATCCACAAATGCTTTAACTGAATGTATGACTCATACTGATAACGAAGTCTTGTTGATAACCATATTCACTGCTTGTTAGCCGGAATTATTTGTTACGTTTTTCATGAAAAAAATGGATAGAATTACAACGTACGCGATTAACAGCTGTAAGTACAGACAGTTCATGTTCTGCAAGCAAGACAAAATGAAAGGAACATGCACACCTTCATAAGTTTCCCGGTGCGGAAAGCCAGCTTCTCCAGGAAGTCTTCAGCAGAGTTCCAGGTGGGGATGCGGTACGTCTTCTGAATGTATTCTGGCTTAGCCCGCTCCAACACTGCCCCGATGTGCTCCTCCGGGACTCTGATTTTCTCCACTTGAACCTTTGTGATGAGGGAAAAGACAAAAAGATGTGAAAAAGATGGACCTGCAAACGTTTCATTTACGGGGACTAGGTCTGAACGATTAATCAAATCGCAAAGCATGCGTTTTTTTTTCAAAATCTTTTTTTTTTTCTTGTGTGTCAGTCATCCACACCAATCAGAAGTGCTGTGCTCCACATTTACCAGCCATTGTTAACCAATCAGAAGTGGCCCATGATAGAAGGTGATAGACAGATTGTGAAAGTGCCTGCCCTTTCCAAATGGCTTCCAATGGAGCTTTCCTAGATGGTTTGGTGAAACAAACCATCTGAGTCAGGTTAGTAATGCTCCATCACATGTTTCTATTACAGGGTGAATCTTAAACTGAAGCTTGACTTTAAAGCAGCCCAACGGAAGTGTCATGTAAGTTTAGTTCTTTCACTCGTAGCTCGGGCTGCGGGGGTGCTAGAGACGGGAGCACGTTGATACGACCTTCCTAGCCGGAGTTATGGCCGCATTTTACAATAAACTTACGTTGGGTCGCTTAAAAACAAATATCGCAATTCGAATCGCAATATTTGTCAGAAAAATCGCAATTCTATTTTTTCCCAAAATCGTGCAGCCCTAACGGGGACTGCATGGCCTCCATGTTAAACCCAATAGCTGGAAAAGGCATCTGGAGGATCAGATTAAAGCCAGATCTAAAGCAACTTTGACATTTCGTCGGATCAGATGTTACACTTGTTCAGTGTTATTAGGAAAACAATTGAAATTGAATTCACCTCACTTGTATTCTGGTGATAGCATAAGTATAAAACAAGGCAAATATCACGATACCATGGTAAACAAAAACAAAAATATATAAGGGAGACTTACAACTCCTTTCAGGACGATATCAGACTCGCTGTCTTCTGACGGATAGACGACCCCAGGACAGTCAATGAGGAAGATGCGTCTCATCAGAGTGATGTACTGCCACACCTAAGAAAGGAAGGAGATTAATGTTATCTGTAGAATCTAAATATTTCCGCTCCACATGCCATGTTCAATAATGTGTGATTTGACTTGATCTTGTTGGTATTTCATGATATAAAAAGAAAGTCAACTATTCAGATAAGGGAAGCAAAACATTATTGAACATTATGTTTTGATGGAGCTCAGCAGAGACTGTTTGTCTTATGTTACAAACATAACCTTTTCCACTATTGGTTCGTCAGAAGGACGGTAATGAAACTTCCTACTGAGACACAAACACATATCAGGTATAACAAAAGGGAGCGTGAGGATCACAGCGGTGCTGCGGATCATCAGACTGTTTTCGCTGTTAAATAGCGTCGACTGTGAGGTGAGTAACAAACACAAGGTGAGAGATAAAGGAGTGTTGGCCACAGGCCCATCAGATTCATTGGCTAGGTGTTCAAGGTCCCTCTCCTTTTGTAGGTTTTCACACCCTCTTTCTTCCAAACAGGATAAGGATAAAAGGCTTGTTGTTCTTTCTCCTGTTAGTCTTTTCAGTTATGTAGTTAAAAACAACTACTTCTGTTGTTTCAGCTATAAATAATAACCAAGAAGGAGGAAAAACACATTTTCCCCTCACATAAGCTTCCCTTGGAGCCAAAGCTTGTCTCACCTCACATAACACCTTTTTGCTCCAACACCTTTTTCTAGTAGCGTTAATGTACTCTTTTCATATTCTTAGTCTTCACATTGTCGTGAGTGTCAAGTCAAACCTGATTTTCTTTCTTCTTCTTCTTATTATTTCTCTTTACTCGGCACATATTCCATTGGTCACTTTGCACGGTTGCATGTCAGAGGTCTGCGTGGCTGAGATGACACTCACCTTGGTCTCTCCGGCGAGGGGGGCCACATTGCAGACTTTCTTAGACCGCAGGGTGTTGATGACCGAGCTCTTTCCCACATTAGGGTAGCCAATGAAACCCACACTAATCTGTTTCTTGTCAGTGTGGAGCTGTGGGAGACAAAGAAAGTCAGAAGGTTGTGTTTCCATTGAAGTCATTTTAGATGGGGCTCTGTTGCCATTTGCAATAAACCAAGGGAACTTGTCACAAGTCCAGAACTGCAATGTAGTTTGTTCAAAACACAAAGGATATCTTAAAAAGGGTTTCTTATGTAAACACAACAATCACGCAACCTTTTAAAACCAGGGATATTTGTTAATATCCCTGGAGGTAAACCCTAAACGCTGTTTTGGAACAGGCTCTTTTACTTTGTTGTCTCACGAATTCTGGGTGAATGTGGTGCAACAGAGTACACTGCATGTTATGTCCAATTAAATCTAACAAGAATATAAAACCCTTTTGATTTCTTGACCTTTTAGATCTTTAAAGCCCCACTTTCACAAATCCGTTCCGTTCCTTAGCCACTGCGTCATGTCTCTTGTTCAGGTCAAGAACACCTTTATTAATGTTCATCATCATCATCATCATCATCATCATCATCATCATCAGGTAACTAAACTCAAACGCAATGAGGGTTTTGAAATTGTGAAAATAGGATGTTTATGACGAAAGAATAAAAGCAGCTTTAATATAAACCTTTCCTTACTGAGGATCTCTGAATTATCATATGGATTGTAATTATTCCCGGCAGTGGCTCAGTCAGTAGGGGCTTGGACTGTGAGCCGTAGGGTCGCCGGTTCAAGTCCCCGACCAGACCTAAAATATGGAGTGTGGACTTCTACTTGGAGAGGTCCCAGTTCACCTCCTGCCCTGCCGTGGTGCCCTTGAGCAAGGCACCAGACATCTCCCTTCCCCCCCTCACTCCCATTGCTCCCCGGGCGCTGTACAATAGCTGCCCACTGCTCCTATACAAGACTCCTGGTACTAGGATGGGTTAAATGCAGAGAACACATTTCACTGTGTGCTGTGTAAATAGGTGTGTGACCATTAAAGAGGGTTTCGTCCCTCCCAATTCTATTCTATTCTAAAATCGAAATAATAAATAATACTTTATAATATAATAAAATAAGGACTACAGAGAAGAAAACCCAAACAATATCATACAAAATGAAAGCAAGTTAAATAAACAATACATTAAAAAAGCAAACACGTAGTTCTGTTGCACTTCAAATGATTCCACTGACTGAAAAATAAGATCAGGGACAAAAAGCCAGAACTATAAATTGTATCTGGGGCAGGGCTTTCGACTAACTTTTTTCACCGTCCTCCCGGAACCGTCCCGAAATACAATCTAAGCCGTCCCGAAATTAATGTGGACCGTCCCGAATTTAAAATATTAGTTTTTCTACATTATCATTAGTTAAAATCATTCAAAGTGACCTTTAACATAAATCAAACATCATACAAATCATTAGATGATAATTCATCAACCTTTTTATTTGAGTAAATCAGTCAATCACATGAACAAAGGCCAAATATATTTAAACAAACACACAAACGAGAAAATTACTCTAATCATCAATCAACTCAATGTCCTGAAGACAGAACCCAGAGTAACCACTAACCAGGATGACAGTCTGTAACACAGTCAGGAGACCTTTACAAACTGCCCCGGCCCCTCGCACACAGACGGGAGAGAGAGATCTCGTCTGGATTGGAAAGCTCGAAAATACATCATAGACGAATGTTGTAGTCTTATTGCATATTAGAAACGGAGTTGGATAAACTAAAACTGCGATATAATGTTTATGTAGCAATAATACATATGACATATATTTTTTAAATGTCTCCAGTACCGATAAAAAGTCAGATAACGTCGGAGCTTAACGTTACCACTGTCTTTAATAATTCCGGCCCGGGCGGAGCCCGTTTGATACCGGGGCTCGGTACCCATCCATACATGGGGAGAGGCGCAGCATATTGCTAAGGACTTAAATACGATGGAGGGTTCTCATCTCAGCCTTATTACCCATAGGATGAAGAGGAGTAAGTAAATAAAGAGGCCGGCGCTCCAGGGTCTGGTTCTGCTGTGCGTTTTTGTGATGTAACGGTAAAACATTTCAGAATTCCTCCACGGGATACCATTGTCATTTTACATCACTCAAACCGCGAAATACACACACTCAGTACATAGCTAGACCTGCGAATTTGCGGGCCAGGAATTCGCGGGCACAGCCAGCTGTGCAACTGGCTGACAGCCAGCGGCACAGCTGTAGCTACGTACTGTGTGTGTGTGTGTGTGTGTGTGTGTGTGTG